TTTTTCCAACCTTTTCACATTTTATACTTATTTTTATAAACTTTAATATTTTAATTTTTAATTTATTTTTGATAAATATTTTTATTTTTTCACTTTACTTGTAGGGGCTTCGGGGAAATATTGGGGGTCTAAACAGATCCCTGATATTTCCCTTTTTAAAAGGAAAAGAAGAGATTGAGGACACAGAGTACTCGATCTCTCGTTCTGCAGCCCCTGTTATAAATTAACAGGAAACGTCTATACTGAGTGTTCCTGTTCATTCATAACAGGAGGAGATAGTATGCTTACCATGTCCACAATCATGAATGATCAGGAGGTGACGTAGATCACTTCCCATTCATTCATAATTGGGGACACAGTAACATACTATGTCCTCAATTATTTACAAACACTCAGCGACCGACTGCTTGTACTCGCTCTCCATCCTGACTCGCTGTCACAGGAGGCTGGGCCAGCGGTGCGGGGAGGAGTGCTCGATCTCCTCTGACAGCTCACTCCTCCCCCGCACCACTGGCCCAGCCTCCTGTGACAGCTGTCTCCGCCCCCACTCTCCTGATCTATCACAGGAGGCTGAGCAGGGCGGTGCCGGAGGAGCGCCCAGCCTCCTGTGACAGCTGTCTCCGCCCACACACCGCCACTCTCCTGATCTGTCACAGAAGGCAGAACATGGCAGCTCACAGCACTCTCCTCCTGCACACCGCTTGGCCTCCTGTGACAGTTTCTCTCGTACCCGCAGGACACTGCGCTGTGTTTAAGGGGACACAAAGCGGCACCCAGTGGGGAGGAGAGAAACCAGGCATGCACAGCTATTTCGGCCGAAAGATAGCACTTTCGGCATTTTGCCACAAGTGCGATTTTTGGCCGATATATTTTAGCGGATGAAATTTTGGTGCATTCCTAATTATTATGACAACCAAAAAACTGTGGAAAAAAAATATGCACAATTCTAAAACTACCAGGCCAATAAAAAAAGCCAGACTCTACAAAGCAAATACCTTTCTCTGGTAAATGGCGATCCAATCTGTAGTGGCAAACCACTTGTGATTCTTAATATCGTTCACCCCGTTCTTCAGATTGCCATATCTTTTAGTCAGGTCTACCTGCAGCAAGTTCCTTAGTAAGTCTTTAAGGTCTGAACTGAAGTGGGATGGAAACCGTACCTGAGCAGAAATGAGACAGACATCATGTTAGCTGGGATGACCACATGGACATGGACAAGAACTCGAAAAACAACGTTATATCACAGATGTGCACATTTTCCACAAAACACATTATGATAAATGTACTGGTACAACCTCATCAGACTACGCTCACTCACTATACTGTACCTCTGTAGGGGCAGCATTCTCACCCCAGAACTCCCCCTTGCCTCTTCTCCATCACATAAGGTGGAGGATTTCTTTAGCCCACAGACTTAATCAAATCTTTATATGTACTGTGTGTCAATGGTACCAAGGCAGATATGCTTATCCTTACAAAGTGTGTCTATATTCCATGGCCATATGCAAGAAAAACACAAACCACAATGGATCCTGCAGATAGAAACCCGTGATAAAACTGCACATACAATGAAATTACTTTATCAGGGCATAGCACCAGAGGAACCACTCCTATGGAAGGCTAGGTCTCATCAACAGTTGCTGGGTTCGCGCTGCTAGGTAGTAGGGAAGGGGAGAGAAGTAAGCAAGGATGAAAACTTCTGAAGCGGACACTGCAGGAACCATGAAACAGAGTCCACCTGAGGAGGACAGTGTCCATGGTTCCTACAGTGCCCACCTGAGGAGGACAGTGTGCATGGTTCCTACAGTGCCCACCTGAGGAGGACAGTGTCCATGGTTCCTACAGTGCCCATCTGAGGAGGACAGTGTCCATGGTTCCTACAGTGCCCACCTGAGGAGGACAGTGTCCATGGTTCCTACAGTGCCCACCCGAGGAGGACAGTGTCCATGGTTCCTGCAGTGCCCACCTGAGGACAGTGCCCATGGTTCCTACAGTGCCCACCTGAGGAGGACAGTGTCCATGGTTCCTGCAGTGCCCACCTGAGGAGGACAGTGTCCATGGCTTCTGCAGTGCCCACCGGAGGAGGACAGTGTCCATGGTTCCTACAGTGCCCACCTGAGGAGGACAGTGTGCATGGTTCCTACAGTGCCCACCTGAGGAGGACAGTGTGCATGGTTCCTACAGTGCCCACCTGAGGAGGACAGTGTCCATGGTTCCTACAGTGCCCACCTGAGGAGGACAGTGTCCATGGTTCCTACAGTGCCCACCTGAGGAGGACAGTGTCCATGGTTCCTACAGTGCCCACCTGAGGAGGACAGTGTCCATGGTTCCTACAGTGCCCACCTGAGGAGGACAGTGTCCATGGTTCCTACAGTGCCCACCTGAGGAGGACAGTGTCCATGGTTCCTACAGTGCCCACCTGAGGAGGACAGTGTCCATGGTTCCTACAGTGCCCACCTGAGGAGGACAGTGTCCATGGTTCCTACAGTGCCCACCTGAGGAGGACAGTGTCCATGGTTCCTACAGTGCCCACCTGAGGAGGACAGTGTCCATGGTTCCTACAGTGCCCACCTGAGGAGGACAGTGTCCATGGTTCCTACAGTGCCCACCTGAGGAGGACAGTGTCCATGGTTCCTACAGTGCCCACCTGAGGAGGACAGTGTCCATGGTTCCTACAGTGCCCACCTGAGGAGGACAGTGTCCATGGTTCCTACAGTGCCCACCTGAGGAGGACAGTGTCCATGGTTCCTACAGTGCCCACCTGAGGAGGACAGTGTCCATGGTTCCTACAGTGCCCACCTGAGGAGGACAGTGTCCATGGTTCCTACAGTGCCCACCTGAGGAGGACAGTGTCCATGGTTCCTACAGTGCCCACCTGAGGAGGACAGTGTCCATGGTTCCTACAGTGCCCACCTGAGGAGGACAGTGTCCATGGATCCTACAGTGCCCACCTGAGGAGGACAGTGTCCATGGTTCCTACAGTGCCCACCCGAGGACAGTGCCCATGGTTCCTACAGTGCCCACCTGAGGAGGACAGTGTCCATGGCTTCTACACTGCCCACCTGAGAAGGACAACGTCCATTGTTTCATGGTTTCCATTCCTGCTGACATCTTCCCCTTTGCCAACTACCTAGCGAGAGTGTTATCAGCACCTGTTGGTCATCTAGCTTTTTATAGGATGAGTTCTTTTGGTGATATGCCATGATCAAATCACTTGATTGCAAGTACAGTTTCAGCATTTTTATTTATAAAAAGGTGTTTTTATCTGCACTGGTGTGACCTGTCTAAGGTTTATCTCCCAAAGAGAAAACTAGGCAGAGCTGATAACACTGGTTGCCATTATTTATTTTTGGAGAGTGTAACATTTTGCTCTTGTTTTTTGTCTTGCTGCTTGACCTGTAAACTGAGTCTGGCAGAGCCCTGCCCTGTATTGGAAGCTGTGGGGAATTAATGGTGCAACTCTGATCCTTGATTTGCTTCTCATCTACAGAAGTTGTAGCTAGAATAGTATTACTCGAGCTTATGTAAAAACGCAGCCTTGTGCTGAGGCAGCATCGGGATTGAACATAAGGCAATATCCATTCTGTGAACCTGTCTACACAAGTGGACTTACCTTTCCTGAAACAATTTTTTCATATATTTGAATGGGCTGATCGGCAAAAAATGGAGGATAACCAGCTGCCATTTCATAGATTAAAACACCTAATGCCCACCAATCGACTGCTTTGTTATAGCCCTAAAAAGAAAGACAATGGTTACAAAACAGAAAAACAATATATGGTGTGTGCAGTAATACCCTGCCTTGTCTCTGGAGCAGCTAGTGGCATCACTGAGGTGCCAGCTCTGGAGTATGAAGGCATTGTATACCGCTGCTTTTAACCCCTTCATGACTGAGGCCTTTTTTTCATTTTTTGCACCCATGTCATATTCCACATTTTAGGCCTGAAAATGACTTGTATACAATTATATACACACACACACACACACTTAACATATTTAATGCATGTTATTTACCAAAACCCTCCCTTCCCTTCTTTTCTACAGGGACACAGACACTGGATCTGTTACCCCATTGGAGAATTTCCCCTTTTCTACAATACAGTGACCACACCAGAAGCACAGAAAATCTCCCCAATATGAGGACTCCCCTTCCTTGCTCTATCCAAAACTGGAAAATAGTTTTGCCTGGAGAATGAACGGAAGTTGGGAATAAAGCAGTAGGTACTGTACTAACCATTGTGTGTTACCTTCTGTATCAGAGACAATGGGTGGTATTATCAAAACTGGAGCAGACAAAATCTGCAGCAGTTGCCCAGGGCAACCAATCAGCTTCTCTCTTCAGTTAAGATTTTAAAATGAAAGAGAAGCTTATTGGTTGCCATGCACAGCTGCTCCAGACTTTGTCTGCTCCAGTTTTGATAAATTCTCTTACCCAACACAATCATGAAGTTAGAAGACCAATACTCCGAGAGTGTAATAAAGTCATATTGATCTTTTATATCTGTTTGCACGAGAAGAGCAGGCTGACTGATACAGAGCTCACTTACCTTGCTCAAAATAATTTCTGGTGCCAGGTACTCTGGGGTCCCACATAACGTCCAAGTTCTTCCCTTTACTCTTTTGGCAAACCCAAAGTCTGTGACCTGAAAAACAGACACAAATGTTATTAGAATCTGTGTAACTGGGAAATCTGCAAGCAGCCTCAATGGGGGACTTGCAGGTAACCATACAACTGGAAATGATTTAATCCAATACTCTGCAAGCATTTCACTATAAAGTGGACCTTTCAGTCATTTTACATGTCTATGTGAATAAACCTCAGACACGTCACCAGATACAGCAAAGGTTTTTTTTTTTTTATAAAGTCTACTTTTATTAAAAAGCAATCACTGAACTTCAGTCCTTGAACTAATCGAAAAGAGGGGTTGTTCCCTGGAGTTCTGATATACCTTAAATTTCCCCTTTAGTATTAATTAATCATTTGAATAGGTCCTCAAAGGTCATTTAACCAAAATTAATCAGATCAAAAAAGAGGGTAACAGTGTTTTACCAGAGAAAACACTGTGAAAGAAGGTTATTAAATTGACCGAGACCTATGATTCATATCAAAATATAAACTTTATTGATTACAAAAATAATGTTTCCGGTGTCTGTTATTTCACTTCTCAAATTACTATTAAAAGAACAACGTTGTTCATGACACTCATACTCCCATTCATTCATGCAGACCAAGCGTTGTTTTGGGGGAACGCTTAGTCTGCATGAATGAATGGGAGTATGAGTGTCATGAACAACGTTGTTCTTTTAATAGTAATTTGAGAAGTGAAATAACAGACACCGGAAACATTATTTTTGTAATCAATAAAGTTTATATTTTGATATGAATCATAGGTCTCGGTCAATTTAATAACCTTCTTTCACAGTGTTCTCTCTGGTAAAACACTGTTACCCTCTTTTTTGTTCAGTCCTTGAACTGCCTTCGGGAAGACACATTTCCAGTCTCCTCTCTCCTGGTGATCAGAATGCAACACTAACTTTGCAGCAAGTCATAAGGAGAGGGGCTGAATTGTGTCAGACATGTGAACACAAAGAACTGCACAAGCATCAGGATTTACATAAGGGTCACCTCTGAGCCAACATTTTAGTCCAGGAAGTCAATAGTGACCCTGTATAATACCTCAGCAAAGATGGCTCCGTCCTTCTGGAGAGAAGTGTTTATACACTTGTTCATGTTTAAAAAATAAATAAATGTAAATATGTATATAATGTGTTGCATATGGAGACAGCCATATCTATTCATCACATCCTGCACTGTGACTGACTGCTCCTCTCAGCGCATTACAACTTGCACGGAGAGGAGCGGTTAATCACAACGGTGCAGCACTACTAAGGCGGAGACCTTAGTAGTGCTGCATGATTTTGTCTGCTAGTTAGGTCTATGTAGATGCCAGCTGCACACCATGAGGGGTTGTGACCAATAATAAAAGAGATGGTGCTTGTCTTGACTGCAACGTCACCGACGCCTCAAGAAAGAGAGAGACTCTGCATGGCCTACGTTGGCTTACTGACCTAAATGACGTAATTTGCAATAAAACATTAATTGCTGAATGCTGCTGACTTATCGTCAAAGATCTTATAGTTAGGCCTGACTGGCTGAAACAAAGCACTAATCGGGTCCATGATGAAGATGGTGAGCCATTACAGTAAAATACAGACAGCCACTGGAGGGAGAATTTCCATATGTGATACAATAATATAAATAATGGACAGGAAGCGTGACAATTGTGAAAGTTCAATCAAATTCTACAATAAATATTACAAAATTATACTTATTACTATAAAATATTGTTATAATCATTTATTTTCGCACTGAAAATACACTAGAACATTTCCGTATGTTCTCCTACAATTTTCTCCCTAGATCTAGTAGTCCATGAACTACCTTCTCCTCTTCACAAAAGTACACTTCAAGCAACACTATTAGATTTTAAAAAGGTGAACTAAAAAAGGTCAAAATACAATAGAAGAGCCACTTCTCCGGTGGCCCATGTCTTCTACCTTTCATCCTTGCCAGTGCTGCAGCCTCCATCAGTTTCTTTGGCACTGAACATTTTTGGAAGTGACCCTGCAACGCAACATGGTCCTCCATATAAATAATACGAAATCACCTGCACTCCATAAAGCGTACAGACCTTGGATGAAAGGTTGGTGCTTGAAGTGGCAACATGGATGGCGCCGTGTCAGATACAGTCCATAATAAAAGTCAGCAGCACTCGATATGTGCAAGAAGTAAAGCACTTTTTGTTAAATTGTCACATGCGTCACACTGCCAACGTTTTGGGGGCCACGAAGGGTCCCTTCTTCTGGGCGACGTAGGTCACTATGCCGCCCAGAAGGGACCCTGCATGGCCCTGAAACGTTGGCTGTATGACGCATGTGACAACTTAATAAAAAGTGCTTTACTTCTTGCATATATCGAGTGCTGGTGACTTTTATTATGGAATGGTCCGCCATGTAACCCCTTATGTTATTACCGAGTCCTGTAGTGGTGTAGGGGTCAGAGGATGGAATTATAGCAGAGAAATATCATCCGGTCCCTTTTTTTGCAGGGACCTTCATACTCCATCTTTTTCTAAACCTGACGATCTTTATAAAAATTTTATTTTATAGGAATTAAAACAACAGCTAGAATCTGGTTGGCTGCTGGGGGTAAAACATGTTCCTTTTTAGCATTTTTATGTATTATCTTCATTTTGTAAACTACACATGCGATTATTCCCTTACCTGAATATATCCTTGTTGGTCGATTAAAAGATTTTCTGGTTTGAGATCTCTGTAGATGAGGTCTAGCGAATGGAGGTACTCGAATGTTAAAACTATCTGAGCTGCATAGAACCGTGCGTGGGGCTCACTGCAAAGAAACCAAAGTACTCAACAAATAGAAATGGTAACAAAACACAGGAAATAGCAATCATGGGGCACAATTTTAAAACTAACCAGCATTCTAATGTCTGCCACTAGCAGCTGACAGCACATCAAGGGTGGACAAACTGATACACAATGTAGGAGCATGGGCATGTGTAGCTCCATTAACAGAAAAGCCTGAAAAACCAGCTGTAATATTTTTACTGGCTAAGTGACAGGTCATGTGACAAAGACTAGCACATGAGATGCATGGAAGACAGCCAGTCTGCTCACACCAGCCACCAATAAAAGTTTCCTGTGCAGCTTTGCTATTGACATATGGCACAGCTTAGCTCAGGGCACCAGTAGATGATGATAAACGTCAAGCTTCCGCCTCTTTACTGAAGAGGACGGCAATCATATTGAAATGCAATACAACTTGCTGGTCCGATTAATGGAGAAGGAATGTACTGCTGGTGGGTCCCTCATTAAAGTGAACATGTTGCTTCGCCCTGCGTTATGTCTCAATGACCAAGGGAACATGGAGCTGGCTTCCAGGCCAATCAGGAAGCTTAGAGGCGGGTCATTAGACGCGGCCGGCTTCCTGATTGGCCGGGAAGCCGACTTCTCAGCCAATTAGCATGGAGTCGACGAAACAGCATGGAGCCGGCTTCCTGGCCAATCAGGAAGCCAGGCCGTGGGTAATGACCAGTCTCCCTGATTGGCCTGGAACTCTGCATCAGCGAGTACCGAAATATAAATATCAGTACTTGTACTCGATACCCAAAAACTGGTATGGGTGCCTCCCTACCAGGTTCCCGAACCAATAAAAGGACACTAGCACAAGGAACTCTATATGTATTAAGCATCATACAATGATTCGTACACACGTGGATACAAATCATAAGACCCAACTCATGTATGTACCTGAGCTGGTTGAGATGTGACAAAGTGAGAGGGGAAACAACCCCCGCCCCCCCCAAACAAAACCACACCCCACGCTACATTAAGGGCCTGTGTCTATCTACAGGCTTTTGCTTGTGTTGAGCAAGCTCACGGGATGGCAAGTGTCAGTGAAAACATAATACACGTTCAAGTACAAGGTACAGTACTGACCTGAACCTGCCGATTCTTCTTAGATGTGAGAACATTTCACCCCCGGGAACATATTCCATAATCATGTATAAATTTGAATTGTCCTGGAAAAAACAAAAAACATGCATTAGCTGGTCTTGAAGGATTACACAAGTTATCACGAAACACATCCACCAAACCTCTCACACCATGCCATGCACTCCCAGTAACTCTGTGTTCTGACAAGCAGGAGTCACGGAGAGTGTCCTGAATGTACTTGGCAACTTTAACACACACGATGGGCACTTAAACCCTTGCAGCGAGGGAAGCCCCACTGTAATGGTTAGGTTTTCTTCTGCCCAGAGTTCTTCTTTTACTGTTTGTATTCAAACAAATCAATATATTTGAAAATACAACGATCACTAGAGAGAATCATGCGGGTATGCATATAATATAAAAGTATACTTGTGCCCGGAGTTTTTCTTTAAAGGCATTGCTCTCATTACAGGTTTTGTTTAACCAAGCAGGTATTTTATAGACAGACACTGATGAAGAGCTTTACCTTGAAGGAATACTCCAACCTGACCAGGAAAGGGAAGTTGACTGCTTGTAATATCCTCTTCTCATTAAGTGTGTGCTCTATCTGCTTCAGCTTCACCACCTAAGAATAAGAGAGATGAGTTATCACAGATATATCACAGAAATTACAATCAACAAAACTGAGCAGCGGAGCAGAAATGAGAAATCCTAGAGTGCGTCTTAGGATGCACTGAAATCAATGTGATGCATTGAGGCTTCCATACGTAAAGATCACATACATCAGGGGTAACCAAACTCCGGCCCTCCAGCTGTGGTGGAACTACAAATCCCATGAGGCATTGCAAGATTCTCACAGCCACAGACATGACTCCCGGAGAGAGCTGCATCATGGGATTTGTAGTTTCACCACAGCTGGAGGGCCGGAGTTTGGCTACCGGCCATACATTACACAGCCAAATGTTTGTGGACACCTGACCATGACACCTGTTTGAGCTTGTTGGACATCCCGTTTCAAAACTATGAAGATGACCCCCTTTGTGGCTATCAAAGCTTCTACTCTTCCGAAATGGCTTTCCACAATATTGTGGAGTTTGTTTGTGGGAATCTGCGCCCAGTCAGCCAAAACTGCATCAAATACTGATGTTGGATGTGAAGACCCAGCTTGTAATCTGGGTTCAAATACATCCCAAAGGAGTTCATTAAAGTTGGGGTTAGAGCTTTGTGACGGTCACAATATACAACACACGCTGCATTAAATAACTTTTATTAAAGTGGAACTCCAGGTAAAAAAAACAATTGACATTTGCCTGGTACAGCTTAGTTACCTCTAATGCTTGGTATACTAAAAAATCTTAGCTGTATTTATGGAGGATTTACTGTCAGCTTTGATCTCCTTTGAATTTCACAAGCTGTATAGTGCAGGGTGGCGGCATTCACCATCACCCTTATCCATTCACATAGGGTACATAGAACACAGCATTTTTTATATGGAAAGAGAGGAAGGGCAGATGAACATCAGGCTCTCCTCTTGTCCATTTATGAGAAACATGACGGCTGTGTTTGCTGGCCCTTCATACAATGCCAGTTGCCTGGTTGTCACACTGACTCTGTTGCTTCAAAACCTAATAGTGACCCACATGCACACAATCTAACCTTCCTGATATGCCAGGCTGTTCTGGGTCAGTGGCTCAGAAAACATGAAAACATCAGCATATCAGGCAGCTGGCATTTTCAGGAGGAGGTCAGCAATAGCAGCCCCTAGATCTCGCTCATAACTTAAAGCGAATCTCTGATTTGTCAATGCAGGATTCACTTTATTGCTGAACTCCACAGATGCATATACTTGCCTTTGTTTCTCCCTGCTCGGAGTGAAAACAAAAATAGTGATATATTCAGGGCTGGGAACAGCAGGAAAGTTAAAGTCACACTTCAAGTACCTTAAAGGAGAACTATGGGGTCAGTGTTTTTCCCCATAGTTCTCCTTAGGGTAACGGGAGGACGCAAACAAGCATCCTCCAGTTACCCTAAGCTCAGTATACCGCAAGCTACAGCTCGCGGTATACTGAGACGCCGCAGCTGATCCCGACATCGATGTCGAGATCCGCCCAGCTGCGTGAGTGACAGCTGGCTCAGCCTATCCAGTCAGCGCTGGCGGATCGGGGAGGGGGGAATCCAGCCCCTCCCCTGTCACAGCAGAGAGCCGTGACAGGATCGAGAGGTGAGCGAACGCCGGTATATGTTTTCTCACTTCCCGATCTACTGAGCCGACCTGTGACAGTCTCATTGTCACAAGTCGGCTAGAACTATGAGGTGACTGAAAAGCACTCGCCTCATAGTTCTCCTTTAATCATTCACAACAATGTCTCTTATTTGTGTATCACTCGGCTGTAGATCCTCCAATCATCTCTGAATTGGTGCTGACACTGTCCTTCCTTCTGGAGGGTGTCTACTTTTGTTCCCCATGGTTCCTGTGTGTGTTGTAAAGTTGTCACCGCTCCAAGCTCACTCCCGGGATGGACTACAATCTCACGTTTAGTTTACTTACTTGTATCAAGATTGTAGTCCTTCACAGGAGTGAGCTTGGAGCGGTGACTTTACAACACACACAGGGACCATGGGGAACAAAAGTAGCCACCCTCCAGAAGGAAGGACAGTGTCAGCACCAATTCAGAGATGATTTGAGGATCTACAGCCGAGTGATACACAAATAAGATACATTTTTGTGAACCTAGCCTTAGAAATATACCTCTAAGTGTTATATTGGACTAAACGTTTTATCCAGCCTCTAAATTATTGCATTAAAATACATCTAATGCACCGTGCACTTCAGCCATAATTTGGGAACACGGACAGCACTGAAACCCACACAGACATTCTAACCCATCCCCTCTATACAACAAATTCATTTGGCTGGAGTAACTCTTTAATTTACATATTGCAATAACTGAAAAAGGTCCGCACTCTACAGGTGCACATGGGAAGTGTACAAGCAATGCACATATGGGTGGAGCTCTATCACAGCACAGCAGCCCACACTGCCGTGCGTTCCATTGCAATGCAACTTGGGTCGCGACTTAATTCCCGAGGACAAATGTGGGTCTTGAGGTTACACAGGTTGAGAACCAGTGATCTAGAGGATAGACCCACCTTCTGTTTATCCAGGATCTTCATAGCATAATACTGATCGGCTCCTTTGTGCTTTACCAGCATCACTCTGCCAAATGAGCCCGTTCCCAAAGTTTTTAACCTATCGAAGTCATCTAGGCTGGCAGTATTCTGGGAAACAAAAAAACACAGAGAAACCATTTCAGAACTCCATTCAGCGTAAATGTACACATAATATCAGGGTGCGTAAACTTTATTTTTGTACTGCAGAATCCTCAATGATGGTTGCAATCGATTGGTGTAAGTGGGTGAGGAAGATTCACCGCGGCATCAATCAGACTGGATGTAATAACTGCCATCTTATCCGAAAACAACAAACGCTTAATGCCGTCAGGGACTTCCCATCATAATAGAGTCCAAAAACTGTACAGTGCAGCCACCCCCACGAAATGCAAATAGAACCTTGCACTTTAAAAACATAAATGGCACTTGGCACAAAGTAACTCAAATGCACTCAGATCTAACAGAAGCCAGGCTGACTAACAGGTTTGTGACAAATCTGGAACGGCGTCAGATGACTGAACAGTGTATGCAAACTAGATCCACAAATGTTCAGTGCCTGCCACCATGCCAGAGCAACAAATCCCAACCACCAATATACACACACAGGTCCTTCACTGTGCATGGATCCACATTATTAAGGGGTGGCCAATTCCTATTGTTCGACACCTGGGACATACAGTTCCGGGCGCCAGGCAGGTGGGGTTTTCCCCTACATTTAGCCCTGCTGCGGGCAAGCTGGGCTAAAATGTAGAGCAGGAGAGCCGCCGCTAGTTTTGTACAAGTGATCTGGGAGGCTGTACAGCCGCCTAGATCACTTGTAGCAGCCTGCTTTTCCATTAACCCCATCGCCCGGACTCTGGATTTATTATGATCTCAGAATAGAGGAAGATCTTGTTGCACTCCTTACCGGATATCCCAATGATAGCGGAGGGTGCTCGTAATGACTGCGGGTGGTGCCGCTGTACACATTAACAGTTACAAAGAATGTCGCCAGCACACCAAAGTATTCTTGTAGGATAACCAAATGTTAATTTTATTGAACAATCGTCAAATGAAAACAATTTTTGTTTTCAATGTTTTCATTTGACAATTGTTCAATAAAATGAACATTTGGTGATCCTACAAGGATACTTTGCTGTGCTGGCGACATTCTTTGAAACCTAATGATCTCAGTCGCGACCCAAAACATCTATGGAGGTTAGAAAAGTAAAATACAGGACACTCTCGCGGCAGCCTACAGGACACTCTCACGGCAGCCTACAGGACACTCTCACGGCAGCCTACAGGACACTCTCACGGCAGCCTACAGGACACTCTCACGGCAGGTTTCTTTTGGAGCCCAGCTCCAGACTTGTTTGTGGTTTTGCGTGTTGAGGTAGCCCTGCGTCATTTCATGCCAATGCACAGCAGGTGCGTCATGGTCTACTATACGGCAAGTACATTGGCAGCTACTGTATGTGTGAACATTGTATTAAACAGAAATAGCAAAACATTGTAATGGTATTTTACCAGACTAAAAGGGAGCAAATAAAAGCTTTTTTTTTAGGGTTAAGGGCTCCATCACCCAGGTGGAGGGGGCTGTGTATCGTAAAAAGCGATTGGATCTTTGTGCCCCCGGAGCTAAAAGGTGATGCATACAGCTTGCCTGTAAAAAAAAAAATCAATGACATGCACCAATGTACCAGCGCACAGCATCTCATTATTTGTAGAGGGGCAGCTATACTATAACCACACTTCTCTTTTTCTACCCCCCAACCTTACACACACACCCCAAGCAATTTCAATATATGTTATACTTCCAAACAAGTTGAAGATCTTTACAGTGTGGCCTGCTTGACGCTCCACGGCCTCAGGAAAAGTCTTGTGCACTGCACCACACATGCTTGCCATGGCCGCCAACCCTTGCAATGGAAAGCCCACCCACAGGCTGACAGACATGCTATCCACTGGAAGGATCGGGGGGGGTGCATGGGGTGTAGGCGCCTTCGTCCAGGACTGAGTGGTGTCAAGCAGGTTATGCAACTTCAAGGCTGTACGTAATAACTCATACTGAATGTGCTGATGGGTGGAAGTGGGAGGGTAGATGAGGTTAAGTGTACTCATCCTTGAAGTCTTATTTACAAGCCTGTAGAATTGCAACAGTGATGCATCAAAGCATAAAAGATAAAGAGAAGGGGAAAAAAAAGCCAAACATAGTCAGGACAGAGCAAAGCTGAAACATTTGCCTGAAATTGCAAGACAAAGCAACATAATATTGCATGTTTAATCAGATATCAGCCCAACTGTTGCATCATCGTGTTCTGTGGGACCACAATGGCACCAATCCAATCTGTTATGGGTTCAGCAGCTTGGCTTATCATTCGTTGTTCGCGGTCCCCTCTGCAATAAATGTCTATTGCTTAAAGGTTACATAGGAAACCATAAATTTCAACTTGGTCATCTTCCAGCACAATTTCACTTCTGCCACCTCCCTCCCCTCCGGGCTTTTATTACATACCAAACAGCAAAACACCACAAGGCGTCTATTAGTGTTTAGGACCTGCATGCCTGATTCCATTATAGTGAATATGTACACCTTAATGTGACCCTGTTTCTTAACGAACCTGTGCTTTGCCAGTGAAATCTGTTTCAGATTTCTTCAGATACAACGCTTTGGAGGCTCCTGGAAAGCTAGTAAAGATTTGTATAGGAACATGCAGGAACCTTCAGCCTGTTATCACATAGGCCTATTCAGGGCAAAGGGACATCAGCATATTATTATACAGTATTGATATAGCGCCAACAGTGTGCGCAGCGCTTTACAATATAGGGAAGACATTACAATCACAATACAAATCAAGACAAGATGGTAAGGAGGGCCATATAACCCATAACCCACCCTAGGAAGGTATCCTCACCCATCTACACTCCCTCACCACCTCTACGCTGCAGAACTACACCTTGGGTAAGCCCTGGAGATGTCCATGTGCATTTTGTCAATTCACTGGCAGTATCCAGAGTCTGACAACTGGCTGCTCAGACCCGTGCACTACCACATGGGGAAGGTTACATGCTCCCCCATACCAGGACCAAAGCGGTGATTGAGGGTGGGCTGACACTGCCACTTTGCCCTGAATGGACAAGTTTATTATTACCGCATTCTCTGATCCACAAATGACGACTAGGGGGAGAATTTACAAAGCTGTATATGATATTCAATAATCCAAACATGAAACACCAAGTGAATAAAATGTTAAAGTCATGTCTAAACTTAACAGTAATTAGAAGCGATTTTAAAATGTGAGGCGACAGAAAACACACCAATGGTCCCTTCAAATACGAAGCTGCACAAAGCACTCGGAAACTAAAATGGCCACAAAGCAAACCATTTAGTAAAAAAACCACCACATTTCTTAGAAATAGAACGTGTTATCTAGTCCTAAGGCTTCTTATCTGCACTACCAATAGGTATGATGGAGAGTATGAAAGTGGGCACGGCACATTCTCAGCAGCAGGGTTTCCAGATTTTATATATATATATATCTACACACACACACACACACACACGCGCACGTCAAAACTGCTGCAGGTATACATTAGCAAAAGGGTGCACATTGCAGAATGGTGAAATTGAAGGTGACAGGGACAGGATGTACAGGGGTGGAGTGCAGAGCATATGATGGTGGCAGTATTACAGGAGTATACAGGGTATGATGAGTCAGTATATCCACAAGTGGAGAATGGAAGGTATGATTGGGGCAGTATGTACAGAAGAGGAGTATGGAGGGTATGACAGGTGCTGTATGTGCAGGAGGAATGTGGAAGGTTTGATGAGGCCAGTATGTGCACAAGAGGGTTGCAGTGGGTATGATGGGTCAGTATGTCTAGAATGGGAATGCAGAGGGTATGACATGTGCAGGAGAGGAGAACGGAAGGCTTGATGAGGCCAGTGTGTGCATGAGGGGGTTGCAGAGGGTATGATGGGTCAGTATGTCTAGAACAGGAGTGTGGGCCTCTGACGTGCAGTATGTGCAGGAGAGGAATGTGGAAGGTATGAGGCCAGGATCTGCAGCAGAGGAACAGTAAAGGCAGAAAGAATGTGCACAGCTTACACAATGTGCACACAGAAAGTGTAGCAGGACAATTAGCATAGGATATGTTTTTGTATTTTGTTTTTATAGTGGTGACAAGCTTTCTTTTAGACCCCTAATGTCTCCTCTGTGTGGATTCGTTACAGATTGGGGACATAGAGGTCCTGATCTGCAATTAAGTGCCACTTGTTTTGTCGTAGCTTTACTCAACGTAAAGGAGGAACCTAGAAGTGCCCAGCACCGAGGACTTGTGGGTTTTTGGTTTGCAGATGTGATCGGTAAATGGGAGGTCATCCGAGTGAAATAAGGTCATCCCTCTTATTTCACTCGGCACCCTGACAAAAGGTTTGGGATTGCACAGTACAGACTGCCCAGCAATTCTATTGTACAGTGCTCTGCAGGTGCAGTGTAGGGGGCAGAGATATGATTTGCACTAGAGGTCTTGCTGTGTTGGTTTCTTGTGGAATAGAGGGGGAAGAGGTTTGGTGCATGAGATGACCTATGGGTAATAGATAGGGCTGCAACAACTAATCGACATAATCGATTATAATCGATTATTGAAAAAGTTGTCAACTTTTTCAATAATGGATTAATCGGCTTCCGATCAGTTGGCCCTGTTCACAGCTCCACACGCTGTGCGCCGTACCTCCTCCCCACCACCTCACGCTCGCCGCTGCCAGACCCGCCCGCATCCATGCTCCACACGCCGCACACTCCCCGCCCACCCACATCCACGATCGGCACAGGGACGCGGGGATGTAGTAAGGAGGAGCAGGTGTGGGGTGATGACAGCCGCCGATAGACAGGCCCGATCTCAGAAGCAAGTTGCTGGAAGACTGTGCTCAGGTAAGCCTGCACTTTCCCACACATGGTACTCTATAATGTATTGCTGGGATTTGTATTCCTCTATAGCTGATGGTACATTGTGCTCTATATTATACATAGGAATACAAATCCCAGCAATACATTATACACTGTATGTATAATGTATTGCTGGGATTTGTTGTACTCTTCTATAGCTGGTGATATTCTGCATTG